CGCGAAGTGTGGAAGTGCAGGTCACAGCTGCAAGACTGTACCAGGGAAGTGTGCCAGAAGTGTTACATCTTGACAACAACAAGAACAACCACAACAACAACAACGGCAACATACAACAACATACAACGACATACAACAACGACGACGACAACAACAGGGATTCCGTGCCTGGGGCATCGATATTGAGATGCCTGCAGCTCCGCATGCAGTGCCTTAGCAGACTTCCGACGCTTTTTTACCGGCGCCAACTCCACAGGCACAAACCAGTCCTCCGTTGAAGGTCGGCTGCCTCCGACATTGATTCCGTGCCACCTGCCTTCTTGCGTGGAAGATCATGCCCACCACACCGTCTGGTCTGTGACGCCGCAGTCAGGGAGCCAGCGGCGTTTGCGAATCGGATGTCAATCAAGCATATATCTGTGCATCCTTTCGTACATGGCCTTTCAAGTCCTCGTCAAACCATGGCCATCTTCGGCAATCCTGGTGAGCTCGCGGCGATGCAAGCTTGCCATCGCGACCCTGAAGCCGGGGCGAAGCGGGGAAGCTTGGTTCACCCGACTCTGCCGCGCAATGGTAGTGGAGGATCTACCGTCGGGACGGTACCTTTTATTTGAAAGATGCACGGGCTATTTGAGTGCATTCCTGTTACTCACCGTTACTTTTGCGCATTTTGGCATATCAATGGAAAGTTTGGGCACTACTGCAGACCACGAAAACGGGAAAGGTCAGCCGAAGTTTGTGTACACGCGCACGAGAAAGCCAAACCATACGATTTTGACAGCTGTCAGTTTCATCGCCAATGCAGTGTAGGCTGCATGAAGCAAAGACTTCTGTCACAGGGCAAAGACGCTGAGAGCCTTCCGTCATGTCTGCAGGCCTGACACTTAGTCGGTCGCATCTTCGACACTCGGCCCTTGTAGAAGCCATGCAAATTCAAGGTGGCTGACGATGCATCTGAAACCGAAAGTGCGAGAGAGGCTTGAAGTTCAGAGCCACCAGTTCATGTTGAAAGTTTCATTGAACATGTGTTACTTGAGCGACTGACGCCTGCTTCGTTGCCAGGGCAGTGCATTTCCAGATTCTGAAGGACCGCGCGGGACCTGTGGAACGGTGCTCAACGTGAGAAATGGTGCATGCATTGGAGGCATCGGATACACGGAAGAGGAGTTTGCGAAGCTTGATCCAGAGGACCACCTGTGAGGCAGTCAGGGTCCCTTATTGCCTCGAAACGTCGTCAATAGGACCAACTGGCGCTGCAAGCTGCTGGCGACGATCAAGAGGCCAAGCTGGCAGCAAAACCTATCTTGCTCGCGGGAGCAAGAAGCACAGAAAAAACAACAAACCTGAGGCGAGCATGTCTGCGGCATTCACGAAGCTGGTGAATGCTCTCATCGTTAGGAACTTGAACGAGCTTGACTCGTGCTTTCTTGCTTACGGTTCTTGTGCACAATGACTCCGTCCATAGTCAGTTGCGTCCGAGATCCTTAGGCGGAAGAGCGCTACGAGGTCGCGCTGCAAGCGTGCGACGAGCGCGAGTCCCAGCCGGCGACTGTCCAGATGAATTGCTGCAAGGATACGGTATTGAACAACAGTAGCGAGGTATCTACCAGTGGACAGTGACCTCACAGATCAAGTGCTTCACCTCTACCTCAAGAGCCAAGGGCTGAGCAAGTTGCATTGCCGTTGCGGTGTGGGGTTTGAGTATTGCAGTTGCTGCAGCGAGTCAACGGGATCGGCTTCCAAATCACTGAGGTTCTCACCAGCAACCCCCATCTGGCTCGCACGATTCTGCCGTGCATCGTGAGCTCTTGGACCACGAGCAGGGTCCTGAGAAACCCTTGGGCAGAACATGTAGTGTCGGTGGCAGCGACAGAGTTTCGAAGGCACCACATGCACTGTGAGTGAGGTGCATGTACCGAGTGAAGGGCCACACGCTGGCAGCGCAACTAACTCTGGATAGGCCTCGCATGACGGAAGTCCTAGGCTTTTCCAGCCATTCTTGTCTCGGATATAGCACAGAGGTATAAACGTTGGGATGTCGATACGGCAGTGCAGACTCTTTCCATGTGTCTTCATCGCCAAGAGCTGAGATCACGTGTCCTTTTGCAGAGCCTGGCCCAACATAGATTGACTCCAAGGCATTGAGACTGAGCCAAGTGCAGACAGCAATGAGGCCAAGTAAGATTGTAGGGCAGGTCAGGATACTTGCAGAATGGCTTGTGACGGCCCATGCGTCAGGCTGGGCGAGCTGCAGCATTGAAGCAGGAGACTGCTTTCAGCCGATCTGCAGAGTCAAACATGTTTCGCAGAACAAGCTGTTCCGTGGGGCCATTGGGGGCGGTGCGAGCGGCGTGGTGGATTGCTACATCACAGAGATGCTCTTTGGCAAGCAAGGGGCGGGGCGCGGGTGGTGGCGGAGGGCGGGGGGCGACGGTGGACGGCGGTGGGGGCCGAGTGAGTGTACTCGCTGGAAGCAGCAACACCAAAATCCCAAACTAAGTGATCCCCAACCTCCAGCCTTGGCTTCAACGATTCCTCCGCATGTTACGCCTCTTCCCTCCAAGGCCTCCCCTCATGTCCGTCCTCTGAGTTTTGTCCGTGCATGTCGGCTGCTTTCAGCAGTCATCTCGGTTTGCTTGCACTCTGCTGCCACATTTCGGCTGTTACTTTCATCTGGTCGGTGTTGCTGTCCTTCAGTTTTCAATTGCGACAGTCTCGTTAATAGCTTTGGTGCAGCTTCACGTTCCCAGACCAGTAAAGGGTGACCATGTCGCTGGCATGTCCACTATTTCCATCGCCTCTGCTGGGTTGCTGCCGCGTCTCTGTTTCGATCCGCACATTTTTTGGCTCCGGAACTCAGCAGAACCCAACAGCTGCGAGCTTGCCGGTATCAGCTTGTCTCCAATTACGTCTTCTCGCCAGGAGCTTCGCAGGATCTTGCAAAGGTGCACTCCTCGGGGGTTTGTTTGGCAAGCCAACAGAGCACAGTACGGGGTCGCGCTGCAGGATGGTTTCATTCGAGAAGATCCTGCAAGTCTCCGACGGACGCTGGCAAGTGTGGCAGGACACCGTGCACTTCAGCTTCATGTTTCCTGCTGGCTATGGCATGCTCTGTTATTCCAAACCAGGAGATAGAGGACATGAGCAAGATGCAGGCAAAGTGAATCCTTGTGGTTCTGTAGCAGGTTATTCTCATTGTGAGGTCGTCGCGAGGGGCAGTTGTGGCAAACCCGTAACATGCACAGGCATTTCAAGGGCAGGGCCGGCTGAAGGAAGGATGTTTAGAGAGAGGTGTGTCGTTGCAAGGCTGCAGATGATACTGTTTGGGAAACAACCTTGTAAGCTCCTGAACAAGTGTTCGCTTTGCTGTGAGGTCTCACGTTTGCCGGACTTAACCTTTCTGGCTCAAGGGACGGGATTTCTGCTCGAGCGTGCCAAAAGGCTTCTTTGCAGTGTGCTGGGCTGTGGCCCGCTTTGCGAGTGAGGTATTTGTGCCTCGTACATGGTAGGCGGGGCTCCTGGAGCGACCGCGGGCCTTTGGGAGTTTTGAGAAAGTGAACCTGCTGAGGCGAAAGGGCTGTGGATGAATGAATTCCAGCTTCAACTCGGATGTGCCCGGATGGGACGGCAACCCCTCCACCTTCTTGGCCTTCGAGGTTGCGTGCAAGTGGTTTGAGAAGACGCTCAAGGAGACGGAGCGTCGTGGAGCAGCTGCCCGAGTTTGGTCTCGCCTGTCGGGGCCGGCGAGGTCTGTGGTGAAGCACTTGTCGGCGGAAGACTTCGACTGCGCCGGCGGCCTGGACAAACTCTTGCAAGTTCTGAGGGCTTCACCTTTACAATCCCTGCCTATCCCCGACAGCTTTGCCAAACTGGAAAAGTGGCACCAGCTACGACGACGGGACCAGGAGTCGATACCGGAGCTCCTGGTGCGTGAGGACGAGCTCTTCCTGGAACTGCAGCAGAGTCTGGTCAGATCGCGGGCTCGGGAAAGGCCGGCGACCACGCTGACTGGTCCCTCTGGAGCTGGAGCCACCACGGCGAAGGAGCTTCGACTCCAGCTTCTCCAAGTTCAGCCAAGAAGAAGGAGGACGACGCGGAGGATGAGCCAGCCACGGCAGAGGCCCCGGCCAAGGACACCGGGTTCTTCGACAATGAGTTGAGGGGGTTTCGCCTTCTCAAGGCGGCTGGCATCACTTACTCCGAGAGACAACAGGTGCTGACTTTGACAGGCAACTCTGTTGCCTTCGAGAAAATACGCCAAGCTCTTCGAGCCCTTTTCGATGAATCCGAACCCAGCCTTCGACGAGCCAAGCCGCGTTCCTATTGGCTGGAAGGCGAGGACATGGACTCTTGGGGCCATTTCGATGATGAGGCAGGCTCGGTGTGGGCCACCTGGCCTTGGCAAGAGGCTATGTGGGCTTCTGGAGATGATGGCTGGTATGAAGCCAGCTGGGACGACGCCTGGGAAGAAGAGGAAGCCTACTGGCAGTGGCCCGAGGAGACCCAGCCGGACGAGATCGAGGACACCGAGCCGAAGAATGAAGAGGAGTCGGCACTGATGGCCCAGGAGAGTGAAGCTTCCGTTCTCGCTGCGGAAGCGAATCGGACACTGGCTGAGGCCCGTGCCGCGGTGCAGCGTGTGAGAAATGCGAGAGGGTACTTTCCTCTGGGCGGCAAAGGCCACGGCAAATCAGGCAAGGCGAGCCCGAAAGGAAAAGGCCTTGGGAAAAAGGGGCCTGGAAAGTACAGCGCCAAGGGCTTCAAGGGCAAGGGCTGCCTGATTTGCGGGCAGACTGGGCATTTCTGGAGAGAGTGCCCCCGTCGGCAAGCCAAGGGCAAAGGGAAGATGGGCACCGGTAAGGGTGCCACCGCCTTGTGGATGGAACCTACGTACCACGGGGCGCACCAGATCTACATGATCCTTCCCGGCACCAACGGGCTTGACGACGAGTTCTACCGCGACTTGGGCACC